TGATGATGATGATGATGATGATGAATGTACATATGGAATAATAGAATGTTATTACATTGGCAAGTAGTGGGCTTTTTGTAAGCTTTGTTACATTTCAAATTGTAAAATACCGACCACAAAGGGGGTGGGGTAAATAACATTTTAATTTTGAAATTCGAAAACTTTTTTTTTTTTTTCAATTGGCTTCAAATTTTACTTTTGGTAATTTTAAATACAAAAGTTGCAGCATATATTGAAAAAAAACCATACTACTGTACATAACTATTACTGTAATAAAATATACCATAATTATGAACTATTTCATGTTTTTTATGTCTTTAGAATAATTTTTTTATCTTAAACAAAGTGTCATGCACCATTTAAAATTTATGTACATTGGACCCGACTCTTAAAAGTGAGTGATTCGATAGTGAAAGCCAATAGACCCTTTTTGAATTCCAAATTACTGCTGTGTTTCTTGATTACAGACTCATTTGCACAGTGCTAGCCTCGAGTTTGTGCAGAATATTCATGTTACAGTCAAGGTCCGTCGAGTTTCAAAATGTTCGTATTGTTGAAGTTGTGCATTCTTTACTTTTCTGTTGGTATTTGTGAATATTTAGACACTGATACAAGGCTAACCCTGTGCAAATGAGTCTGTAATCAAGGAACACAGCAGTAATTTGGAATTCGAAACTGGTCTATTGCACCATAAGCCAAAGATAGGTGTATTAAAATTAATGAATTTGTTAGCCATTATAAAGCACTTTATTGTATACCATTTTTAACTTGTGGATACGTCAAGCGTAGAAACGAGTTATTGTGAGGGGTCTGATTTTTAAAGGTAGCAAGAAAGTGAAAGTTCTGGAACAAATGTTTATGTATAAAATGTTATATAAAAGGAAATACCAGAAAAATTTAAACATGTATTCATACTATGTATATGATAGCATTCATAATGATTTGTTCAAAAATTAAGGAAAAAACCTTATCTTTATCTCACACTACACTAAAAGATCTTATAAATAATTTGTCTCAATACAGATGGGTTGAATTGTTTCTTTATGAAAATCCACTTGGAAATCAGACCTTCAATCTCCTTAATTAATGACAAGCGTTGAGAGACAAATCAATTAAGACTGTCTATAACTACTTCCAAATGCCATAAGTAGACAATTTACAGATAAACCAAATATTCTAAAATAAGGTCAATTTTATTACTTCTAATTTGAAAGGAAGTATTTGATCAAATATTCAGTCTAAATAATTAGGATGTCCAACATTAAATTCACTTATCTTTTTTACACTGTTTTGCCAAAATAATACCTGTCTATTCCTAATAAAAATTTTGATTAAATTTTCTTAAATGACCCTTGGAGCAGAAGCTGTTTTCTTTCTCAAAGGCTGCAATACGAAATATAGTTGAATAATGATATAAATGGGATTGAACACAATCAAAATAGAATATATTCAATGTTTATTGTTCTGTATACAGTATAAAGGATTATCCTTCAGTCACATTCCAGTCTTTACTGGAGTCAAATATTTTTGAGATTACCATGTTTAATACAATAATATAAATTACTTATAATGTGCAGTAGCTGTACTAAATGATTGCTATTATGTTTCTTTTTGCCTTAAATATGTCCAAACACATCAAATAATGCTTGGCCGAATTCTATTTAGCAGTTAGAGTTAAGGTTTCCTATGCGTCTACTAGTTATATAGACAAAAATAATATTTAATAAATATAATTTGAAATCCTTTTAAAGAATATTGCCATCTGAAAAAATGGAAAAAAAAAAATTAAACATTTATGTAATAAACATTGATAACATGACATTAATTTGGTGCATTCAAGAACCATAAATCTAAATGGAACCAATAATTGTTWAAAAATATTTTCTATATTTTTATTATTATGCCTTATTATACTGATTGGCTCATATTTTTTTATATTGGGGCTAGTAATTGCACTCTACAAAGGTTGAAAATGGTGTTATTGTAATAAGACCATTAAAGTGGATAAATAGGTCTAAATAGTAAAAAAAGGTATAAAATGCCATCTAAACTTACTCAAAAGTGCATTACATGGTTATAATAATCAACACTGTTTTAAACAGATAGAGTCCATTAGTGCCACGCGGTCCACATACTCTCTTCACTGTTTTAAACATGTAAATATCATTTATACTGTGTATTTACAACCAGGTGATTTGTCTTCTCAGCTCAAACCAATTAGCCAATCAACAGACATTTTTTTTGTAGCTCAGAATTTATAGTTCCAGGTTTTCAACTCAAAAGCTTTTACTTGAAAATGAAGAAAAGAAACTCGAATTAGATTTTAGAAGTAGCATATTTAGTCGTTGGTGGAATTAATATTTCATTTTTTTGTTACTAAAGGTTATAGAGAATACTTGGAAATTTTTGCTGAGACAAACAATGCATGGTGCACTTAGATTCCAAATAACTTGCATGCACATCTGCATTGAACATTTTCCAGTATCAAATATTGTCTATCAAAGTGGCTAAGATTATAGAGCTAAGAAGGTCATTCCTTAAAGTGATTGAAGATTGCTTGGCTAATATTCAGTGAGGGATTTTGAGCTCTTAGAGTGATTTTACTTGGCACAGGAAACAATATTGTATGATTAATGACTAACAGTCAAAGTAAGTAAAACAAAGCAATGCTTCTATGTACCTATTACATTGACTATTCTTTCATGGGCAAAGGAAAATCTCTGCCTTTAGTCTACAAGTTGGCCAACTGATTTGAAAAATCAGTTTAGCTAAGGGCCAGTTTAGAAAGAAACAATTCTAGTCATGCCAAGGGTATAATTGCCCACATAACCATTCTTGTGCAATATATGCCAACAAAATCTTTAATGAGACAGTTGACRTTGACTGGAGTACAGGGCTTAAAATGATGGTACATATGTTGCCAGGTGTGACAAACCGGCCAAATAATATATTAGTTTTAACTYGGCTGTACCTGGTCTCTGGCTTACAATACTCATCAAAATGACCCACGAAGTAAAGATTTGGCAGGACAAGTTCCAATCCTTAAGCCCTGGAGTATTGTAAAATATCTATTAAGCTGTTATAATACCTGTATGTCTATATTTAAAGTCGGCATAATTTACATAAGTCTTAAAGCCACACAACCAAAATTACATCTGGAGTTCACGGTACCCACAACAGTCCATGCATTTTGGTCCTTGTCATAATACTCAATGCTATTTACGACTCTACCACCTACTACATATATAAGGTCATTGACAACAGCTACTCCTAGGCACCGTCGACCATTATTCATACTGGCAACTGAATGGCTCCATGTGTTAGTTACAGCATCGTACACCTCAACACTATTGCTATAAGATTCTCTGTTGTCAGAGCCACCAATAGCATAAAGATAGTCATCAAGCACTGCAACACCTAAGCTCCAGCGGGCAGTTGACATGGGTGCAATGGCCTCCCATCGGTTGTTAACTGAGTCATAGCATTCTGCAGTGTCGAGAGGTGCCCAAAGGTGATCAAGTCCACCGACAGCATACACTTTGCCTYGAAACACAGCAACCCCAGGGTAGTATCTTGCAGATGTCATCAGTGGAAGGGATTCCCATGACATTGTTTCTGGGTCAAACCTCTTGGCACACATGCTACTGTGTCCTCCCAGAACATAGATGTACCCCTCTGACTCACAGACACCTGCCCACTTACACTGGACATCTGGTCCATTGGCAACCTGGATCCAACTGTTGGATATTGGATCATACTTGCCTACCTTGTACCGACTGACTGTATACAGCTCATCATTCACCACAACTACTCTGAAGTAATCCTCTCTAGATACATGTGCAACACTCATACCAGCCACGATTGTCCATTCTAGTGTATCAACATTGAAACACTGAACACTGCTCAGTTTCTGACCATTAGACCATCCCCCAATCACATAGATCTCTTCTGAAGCCATACGAGGCCTGACTCTGAAATTATCAACTTTGGAAGAGGAATTACTCTCAATGAAAGACTGATAAATCCTGGCTTCTCGAATTAACTCTTTACAGACAGTATTCTCGCGTATCAATCTCCTTACAATGTCATTATCCACAAGAAAGTTCAGATTCATCAGAGGAAATCTAATATACTGCATTATGTCGCCAACATAGGCCTTACGGTTGTGGAAGTCGTGGTTTAACCACTGCCACGCAGCGTCAAATACAATTTCTTCTGCTTGCACTTTCAATGTGTCATCCCTGATGAAAGCTCTGAGATCTTGATATGGTAACAATTTGAATTCTTCCTCTTGGAAAACGTTTTGAAAGTTCCATAAAATGAATCGCTTTGCGTGGTCACACAGACCGTCAAGACAGAAGAGTTTGGCGAGAGAATGTAACCCCAAGCAATTGGAAAGCGACATATTCCTTCGTAGAAATGTCTCGCAGTGATCCACAAGGGACTCGAGGCGAAGAACAACGCATACTTTCAAAATATCTTCAACTGTATCGACGTCTATCTTCAAATAAGATGTGTAAAAATAGTCGATCACCGCTCCCAAGGCTTCTGCTGCCATGTCCTTCAGTTGGATACACTCTTCATTTGCCTCCGAGAAACCAGACAGAAACATTGCTCGAAAGTATGGACTACTTGCTGCTAAAATAGCCCTGTGGGCTGTAATAGTTGTCTTCTCAACTACAAGGTTGACATCACAAAGTTCTGTGTTCTTCCTCATGGAGTTTAACACTTCCAAAGTATCTTTCGATAGACAATCGTCGATGATCTCGACCGAACTGGTGTCGCTGTTGAGTTTCGTTACTTGTTCGGAAATTTCTGCGGCCATTTTTAACGATCAAATCCATAGCCGTGCCAGAAGCACAACGACAAATGAAAGTATGTTGGTCCTTTGTGAAGTAATCTTTGTTGTGTCACAAAAGCCGGGTCTTGTTGTCAACAATCCGGGGCCTGGGTTCTAGTCTTGTCTTTGCATTTGAGTCTGAAAATTGAATTCTTTAAGTATATAATATTTTACTTAGCTTTGTGTTTAGAGAATCGAACAGCATTTCTTCCTATTTACTCCCAGCAAAGCCAAGTTATTGATGATTCAGAACTGCGAATAAGCCCGTAACTTTCCAACACGTGATCAGCTTGTGTTGGGTAAGTTCAGTCCATATTATATTGTCTGTGATGGTATTTGACGGTAGGCGAGGGTAAAGAGGATATAGGGGCTATTCAATTACGTAAGGAGCAGCGCGGTGATATCCCTTACGTACACTGGAACATAGTTTAGTGAACACTTAATCTAATAACACCAACATGTTTTGTGCTGGCATGCACTCAGTCCGGCGGATAAGATTTCGCGTGTCAGTAAAGGTTTAACCGGGTCAAGTTAGCGGCTATTACGTACGATCAACGGGCGTAAAATAGGACGGAATTTATCTTCGAATAGTTCACAGGTTAGAATAGGCAAGGTTCCGGTGTTCCGCTCCGGTTACCACCCTAAAAGGTACGACACGGAGCAACCCGGCCTTTTCCAATCCACACCCTCCACCCCCAGGTGTTCTTTTTGGCTGCCGAAAGTGACTGTTCTACCCGGTGGCAAACTTCGTTGTCGTGTTCTTAAAAGGGGTATCAAAGCCGATTAGTTTCTGATAGTAAGCCCAGGTTTATATAGCCTGCCAACAGTTTGTGTTCGGATGCACGCAGACTAAGGTTTATTCCTTAAATTATCGTGTTAAAGGTATGTTGTTAGTAATTGGAGTCTAAAAAAATAAAAAGTACAAAAAAAAAAAAAAAAAAAAAAATTTTGCGGCTTCCGTTTCGAAAATAGTAGGAAAGTTGATAGCTGGGCATTTATGTTATCGCGTTGATAATAAAACCAATGGGTTAGTATATATTTAAAAGTGCGGGAGGTCATTTCTTGGATTATACCAAAACTTGTCTTTTCCCGTCCTGTGATGGCCCAGTGCCAAATGGACTAGTGATTAAACCTCCAATTAATGTTGTATAAAGGCGGATAAGTTCCAATAATAGACAAGAGTGGTGTGTTCATGTGTACGAGTTTGTATAACAACACAGCAGTCCACACAACATCCTGCTGAGTTAAAAGAATTAATCTATAAATTTTAAGCGTAGTTCCGTCGAAAAGGGGGTCCTGTCAGAGCATGCACAACTTGATTCCCAGAATATCAGCCCGATACCCGTTGGTCTTTAATCGATTTGCGCATTCCATATCATTCCGTAAAAAAACATCGCTATGAGATTCACATGTTATTAAAAAATAAACTGGTTGGCATTTTATCCCCACGGTTTGAAATCGTGATTGATCACAAGACGATCGTGACTTGCTCACGCCAAGAGCTATTAATGTATGCACTTTACGGGTAGCTTTTCTAGCCCCGATCAATAGTATTCGATTACAAAACGATATATTATGGTTTTCGTCATTTATTGTCGTGGTTATGAGCAACGACTGTCATGCCCCAAATATGAGAGGCGAGTGCACTACCGCTACACCACCTTTAAATTTTATTTTCTAATAGACGTGTCGATGAAAAAAACCTGCAAAAGCCTCTCGTTAAGCCTGGTGCAATGACAATCTGTACTGAGGCAGTATTGTGCAGACTCGCTGTTCTCTAATGGGTTCTTTGCCATAATCTGACTGAATTGTCTGATCCGTGAGAATGAAGGGGAGTGAATGAGAAGTTTCTCGAACAAATAAACATAATAATTAATAAGGATTTCAGAGTTCATTAACTCCAGTCGGATGATAGACTAATTTCAGTAATAATATCATTTCAGCCAGGTATTGATAGCAATAAAACTCTTCAACCGTTTATCCGTTAAACTCATCCGTGCTCTCTCTTAAAGCAATCGTATTATCTGCGCGCTTTTCAAGATATTCGCCTAACAAAGAACCCGCATTCAGACTTGGTATCCATATACATCTACAATGCATTGTGTCTAAATTATGTCTTATCATCTCGGAATATGTGAAATCTTTTACAGAAAATAATTGTCGGAGCCAAAGGTTATTCCAAGAATGAAAAAGTGTTAAAATTATTATTATCATAATTATTATTATTATTATCATTATTTATTATATATATTATATTATTTATTATTATTATATAATCATCGTTTGAGATCTTGAAAGCTGTAATTACATGCATTAGAGGCTCCCGCACTCCTTTTTATAAGAACAACGAAAGTGACTTTCTATTGGACTTTAGCATTAATACTAACCTTGCCGATATTAGATAATTTTAGACTTTTTTATAATGCTTGTTTTTCATTTTGTT